AAAACTATAACGAAAGTGGGCAATTGTGCAGCAAAATAAACTGGATTAGCCATAAAAACTCATTATTGTTGCACCTTTACAGTCTATTCATTAATTTAAAAGTATGATTCTCAAGCTCAATATTTCTGTGTTCCACTATCGTGTAAATAGTTTCTCAAGTCACGTTTGTTATTCAGTGTATTTTTGAAATTGACTGTAAATCAAATAGAATCAAATTCTCTGGTAAAATTTGAGATGCGTGATGCATTAAATGATTTCAAAGGTTTTGCACCCCTACCTTTACTTCTACATAGAAATATATATATATAATTACATGTAGCTCATTGAAAAAGTGGAGAAATTCTGCCAGGTTGCAGATTCTGCATTTTCAATCGAAACTACATTTGTGTTTGTAAATAAATGATCTTGTGATGTTTTGCAAAAAAATTCCTGTTTCATCTTTTGTCATTGTTTGAAATTGAAATACAAGATGTCCAAAATGCAGCTTCCAACCTGTCAGAATATAAATCAAATGTAAACGGACTTCATAATGTAACTGTTATTATGTAATTAGTTACATTTGAATAGTATAGCACAGCAACAACAATGCGACTTAAGACTAGAACAGAGCTTAAGTGTGTGTGCAGTATTACATCTTTGTCTGGTTCTTTGATTTGGCATTTATTTTCTATTTATTTCCTCTTTTTCTTGCGGGTGGGGATCAGCTGGTTTCGGGGGCGTCCTTGTTGTGGAACCTCTTTCACTTCAGCGCTGTCTGATTAGGGGAACCCCTCTAGCGCTGGTGTTAACAGGCCCCCGGGGACCCCGTCATTAGCACCTCTTTACAGTCGCTGCGGTAGAGACGTGCCGATAAGCCTTTCTAATTGATTAAACGTCAATGTGTTCACTAATTTGAAATGTGCTAATTACGGCATCGCCCTCGCCGTCTCTTCTTTTCAGACTCTTAACAGCGCCAGATGTCCACTGGCCGGGCTGGTAGCGCGTCCTTAATTTTGATGTGGCGGACTAAATTCTCTCCTCATGGAAATTCTCATGAAAACAAGTCTGTCTGGCTCTACCGTGCAATTTGTTGGAATGAGTGTTTTCTTTCTGGGGTTTCCAAGACAGAATTTCTGTTGATATTTTTAGTTGTTTTTTTTTTAATGTCTTTTGAGGTCGAGGCTTTAAGAAGTAAGAAGTGGTCACAGAACAGTTCAGGGCTGCTCTTCAGTACATCTAGTGGACTTCAGGCCGGACGGCTTGGATAAGGTCGCGGAGCTGCTGCTACGTCATGTTAGTTGTTGTTTGGATGATGACGTTGACCGTTCCAGGTTAAATAAAGAACACATTCACTTAGCCTGCTTTAACAGAGTGCCTTCAGAGAATTACCACACGCTCTCATGCGCGCAGGCCGATATAGACACACCCTGGAGACCTACAGTGCAGCACTGGAGCAGCCAGATGAGAAATTTAAAGGTGATAATGTGCGATTCTGATGCGTCGAGTGCAGCTGAGCTCTTATTGTGTCCACCCGAAAGGCTCCTGAAATGTTTTTTAAATCACTGGCATCATTATTTTTAAATTTGTGGCCCATTAGCCCATGTTGGGGGATGGGATTGGTTCTTTAAAGGGGAACCCTCTTCTTCAACATTTCTGCAAAATTTAGTGGATGAAAAGTTAACAAACTCAGAGTGGTTCAATGTAAAATGGATGATTGTGGAGAAACTTGCACACTTGCAGAGATTTTGTTACAGTGGTGGTGATAGGAACCAGGCGTCACGATTTCCACAACGCAGATGTAGCCATTTTATTTGATATCCAAAACCACGAGTGAATGTCTCTTTTCTTGTTTATATGTAGTGTTGATGGTAAAATATTGGTAAATCTGAAAAATTAGGTTTTGAACACTCTTTTTTCTGTTATGACTCACCACACCTTGCATGTACCTCTCCACCATGAATGCATTAAAAAATAGGTATTAGGCCAAAATCTTGTCTCAAAACTATGATAATACAATGTCTCTGGCATCAGGCGGCCTATTCCTAACCATTTCATGTCATAACTTTCTGTGAGGGAACTTTTAGAGGCATTAAACTCTTCAGACATCTGGTTCCTATCACCGCCATTGTAAACAATTCTGACTCTGAGCTTTTATAGGATGGTACATTTTCGCATCAAACTGCTCTGAGTGACTTCATTTTCATCGGTTTACATGACTTTGTTTGCATCAGTCCTATTTCTTTTTTGATTTTTTTATTACTCATAGCTTCTGTGCTGCCTATAGTTTCTTTATCATATAGTATTTGCACCCTGTAATTTCCTTTTCCATGTTCAGCTTTGACACATAGTGCAGTTCTGCATTAGTCACATTAATATGCTTGATTTAAATTTAAGATGTTTTACTCAACACACAGACCGTTTCCATGGCCACGAAGCTGGGACGTCAACCGGTCTAATCATATGATTACAAATAGATTCAGAATAAAAGCCCTTCTCTTGATTAAGAGCACATTCCCTTAGGATGAGCAAGTATGTTTATCTTGTGCATTCTTCAAAAATATGAGAGAATTTTTTTTTCAGGGATCCCCCAAAGCAACTGAAGTGTGTGATCGTGCTGATTAATTGAGTTTGATCAGAGAGCAGCGTTATAAGCAAACTGGGCCACTCAGGGGGAAGTGGGGGGGTAAGCTGTAACACAGCCAGCACAGTCACTAATTGATTATCCATGCATGCTGATCACTTCATTCCATTAAAGACCCCCCAAGTTTTTGTATCTGTTTGCTTAGAACAGGTCAGACATAGGAATGTAGATCACCTGGGATCCAATAAAAGAAAACATGTGCACAAGATAATTTAACTTTTATTTGATCAAACTTTTATTTGACTTGCAGCTCTTCACTGTGATACTGCAAGTGATTCAGTTTGTTCATTAGCAACTGATTACTGAAAAATTCAGCTCCTACAGTTTTTAGCACTATTAACTAGGGCTTGTCTAAAGCTCCAGTCAGGAGCTGCAGCATCTTACCAGCTAGTTTAAGTATGCTAAGAACAGTAAGCAGCTTAGTAATAATTTGAAAGGCCAAAATCAAATTTACGCAGTTTTCCTCATTGAAATCGATCAGTCAAAACATATCTGGTGTCCAAAGTTTGCTTCTTCAGGTTTGGAGCTAGGAGGCTAATGTAGCTCACATAACGGCCACATTATGCCCACCGAATAGCAACACGCAAAGTGCAGGCCTAAATCATTACTACATACTTGCCACAATCTGTGTTGAGTTTAGCTGCAACTAATAATTATTATTATAGTCAGTTATTTCCTTTTGACTTTTGATTAATGAAGTGCAGTTTTTAGTTTGTCAGTAATTAACATTAAAAGTATAACACTATGTACATTTTGTTTTAACCAATGAAAAATGCAGGCATTATTTCTCATCTGCACAATGCTCTTTCAAATCTTCTGAATCATATTTGCAAAAAATTCTCTCAAAAGCATCCAGAAAAAATAAAGCAATTCAGTTCATATCTGTGTGGTCGGCAACATATACTTACACCTCGCAGTAAACCGTCTTTTGAGATATGAAGGATTTCATTCCAGGATACATCATATTTCAAATCATACCATGTGTTACAAATCATTAAAAATTATATTTTGTATGATATGTGAGTGAGCTTTACTCATGCAAGTAATATCAAAGATATATACCACCTTTATTAGAGAAATAACAGTGTGTTTTGTGTGTTTTATGCCAACGGTTGTCCTTTTTTGAAATCATTATATCTAAAAATATTACTAATGCGTTTAGAATGAAACTCTTTGTATGCTATATAGGGAGCATTCTACCAAATTAGTCCCAGAGGAAAAAAAAAATTAAAACCAATGCAGTACTAAAGACAGTAATAAGCTAAATATATCCACAATCATCATTTGTAGGGTACATTTTGTTGGGTTTTAGGGTCTCAAGCCCTAAATTTCAACTTCTGAAAAAATATCTATGTTTTTTGCATTTTTGCGTTTGATCTGTTTTATGTGTTTTAAAATAAAGTTGAAAGATTTAGATTTATAATGAGTTTAATTTTTAAATAAAAAGAAAGGAATTCAAAAAATGCCGTCCTACGTTTTCATGTCACCACCAATGAGTTTTAGTCCATAGGCGGAGCCTTATTTTAGCCACACCCCTGCATTTTAAAGCAGGAAGTGAGGCTGCATCCCTGTCCCTCATGGCCACATGGTGAGCAGTTAGATCCCATTGTTTTGACATAAATATGTCCAATGTCTGAAAATCAGTGTGTAACATTAGGAACTGTCACTAGTGAAACACTTATATTCTGCAATTAAGTAAACATTTTTGTGTTTTAATGAAAAATGTTTATGAATTTATGTGTGTTCAACTGTCAAAGCTGTGTATGATAGTCATGCATGTATTTTGAGTTATGTTGAAAATCATCTAAAGTTACGAAAGATTTGGTAAAGTTTTGGCAGTGGTGTGATTGTTAAGGACAAAAAAGAATACTCGATCATGTATTTTTTAATAAAATATTTATTTTAATAATTAAGGTTTGCAGTCAAAGCAAAATGATTTTAGTTTATGTCAGTTAAAAGGCCGAAATGTGTTTTCAGTTCTTTGAACCAGTTCAGTTAAATGATCCGTAAATGTTAGATGGGAAGTGTATGCAATGTTAAGCCAAGTAATCAGTTACAAGATTCAGACACAGCTATTTTTTTTATTATTGACTGTATTAATTAAATCTGTTCTTTGTTGCGGCCCTAATTGATTCAAGCATTCTCAGACATAGACATTTCTTCTGTGACGCCTGTTGCTGTATGACACACTGTTCTCTGTAAAAAATAGACAATGCCTTGGCTGATGGACTACCCTAGGGGTAAGGGAAAATTATAAATTAGAATTTGAGTTTGATCTTTTTAAGGTACCAACCAAAACGCACACCTGTGAACATTTAACTCTGATCAGGTTCATTTAACACAGGAGATTTTAGCATATGTTCTCTTTCCCCTCATACAGGATCTGAAGAGTGCGTTCGTGCGCTGGTTGCGGGGGCAGGTGGATGGAGAGGGTGTGCTGCACTCTCTGAAGACCAGCCTGAGAGTGGTGTGGGGCAGAGAAGAGCCAGCTGAGCTGGCTGATGGAGAGCTGGCTCTGCACACTGAGGCTCCAGAGTTGCTCTCTGAACATTTCAGCATGCAGATGTACAGCCAGCACCTGCAGAGCCAGCGACTGGGCCGCACCCTGCTGTACGCTGACGTCACGCCAACCACCATGGACCTGCTGGAAGGGTAGGTAGTCTCCGTGTTCGGTGCCTGAAGTTTGCCTCTTCAGGGAGGGAATGTAATGGTTCGCGGTTCTTCATCGGCACGACAGCGATAAAAACGGTTATATACAGTCGCTGTAACATACTCAACCCATCCACCAGCCTTTCAGCTATGATCCGCCATAAAGCCCAATATTACAGCCATATCCTGATTTAGCTTCCCAAGTTAGCTTAGTAAACAAGTTAGCATGTTTTCATTACCACGGAAGCCATTACAGTTAACTGTAAAACGTCGCCGATTTAATTCAGTTATTTGTTGATATTTAAGTTCAGAAAAAGTCAGGCTCTAACACATCTACCTATGCCTTCTGAGGTTCCTCCCAGAGATGTTGATTGATGGCTCTGATATGTGAGATTCATCCAACAACACTGTGAAAATTGTGGGAAAGGAAGGGAAGTAAGATCAGGACAGGGGTGTGTAATGTGTGACTAGACTCCACACCCCATGGATTTTCTTTTTGTAGTCAGCTTGTTTTATAAGCTTTTGTGCTCTGCTGACATCTAGATGCACGTTTGTTTGGGCTGCAACCATGACAACAGAGCTCTGGTTGGCCAGCCTTATTTTTAATGCATCCGTACAATGCAGGAAATTAAATTAAAAATTAGAAAAGATATGCAACGTCAAAGTCTGTCAGTTTCAGACTCTGAGAATTTGAATAGTAGCCACACATTTAGGAGAGGATGATCAGGAGAGCCACATTTGCAGGAAATCAACAAAAAGTCCCATTTCCTGCTGATTTATCTCCTTGTCAAGTACAGGGTGTCCCTAAAATGCAACCGATACAATGTATGTAAATCCTCCTGTGTTAACGATGAAGCCTTTTATACTGTACGCATGTGCGGCAAGCGGTCCAGTTACGTTCGTTTGTTTATTTGTTTAGCTGCTTTCTAGAGTTGAAGCAATCACAAAATAGTGAGTTTAGTGGGGCGTGATGATTGGTTGGTGGGGCGTTGCCCACCTAACTGATGCGCTGACGTCAGACCTGGCTAGCCTTCACCCTCCCAGCGTGGTATCGTTATGTGAGGGGGAGATCTAGCTAGTGGGTGGAAATGGCTACGACTAGCCAAAAAAAAAAAGCCTGTGTTTTTTTGTTGTTAAGTGCCCAAAACCACATAAGCAAGTCATGCTGATTGGTCTACCTATGCCTTTATTACTTGTTAACTACATTAGCCTCGTAGCGCAAGTGTAAAAGTAAAGGAAAAATTTTAAACACCACATGTCTTGGCTGATTGCCTACTTTTGGGGTTTTTTTATTTTTTTATTTTTTTTGGTAAGATTTTGTTTTTTTAACCAAATGATTCCTATAAAGTCATCAGGATCGTGATTATGATACATGGTGAATTTAAACCTGCGTGTTCTATCTAAACAGTCGGTGCTGCACTGGACATGAGGTGGTAGTCGTACCACCAGTGGTGGCCGAGGCAGTGACGGAGGCCACGGGGCCAAGATCTGTTCGGCCTGCTGCCTCTGGGTGGGGGGGTGGGGTTAAGAGGGGGGGGTCGATCAGAGATCTGAGCTGGAACTAATTTAATGCATGAGTGAGCTCAGCGCAGTAGGGCCGGCCTGGCCTAATGGAGCTCTTTGTCTGCGGCTCCCCTTCACACCGGGAACTCACCAGTCAACAGGCGGGATCGCAGGCACAGGTGGGAGCTATTAGAGCTGTCATAAAGTTTGAAAAATGGATTGTGGAGCGCAGCTGAAGTGATTGGAAGTGACATTGTTGTCATTAGGGTTGTAGGAGGTAACGAAAAAAAAGTGAAGCAGTGGGAGGAAAAGAAACTACAGTTTGATTTCCCCCTCGCTTGATTATGAGAGTAATTTCCAGATGTCCCCTGTAACAGCCTGATTAAGTGGTCTTATTCTTCTCTTAAGAGTCTCACATAGATGGCCTCCTCATTGTGCCTTAACCGAGCTGTATCTGTTTTTATAGCATGTTATCGACAGAGAGAGCGCGAGGGAGGAAAATAGCTTGATTCCTAAATCAAGTTCACTCACTACTAGGGCTGGACCATGTGTTGCATATTTAAAATATATTTTTAATACTGACTTTTTTTGGTTGTGGCAGTAGAAAATTAGCCAACATCGTTAATATCATGGTGATTTTAACTTAGATAGCAAATTGGAAAACTACAGTTTACCTTGGAAGCCTCCACTGTAGAAAGAAATCAATGAGAGCGAGAGGCTTTGATCACAGAGGAGTTTGAACCACTGTAACTAACTGTATATTACATGTAAGATATATACAGTCACTGGTTGAAACATGCAGCCACATGAACACGATCTGAATTTACATAGATTTTCATTTCAAGAATGCAGTTAATTACAAGGAATAAAAGTCTTTCAGAACAGTACAAACATTAGAACTTTTAAAACATTGCATTTCTAGTGCTTTTGGTACACAAACTCTCATAGACTGTATTTATGTCCCATAGATGTGTTTGTATGCATTGTGTGTCTATAAGTGTGCGTGTATGTGTTCTAAGCATGTATTCTGTGTATTGCTATGTGACATTTGTCATTGTTGTCAAGTGTGCGTGTATCATTATGATTAGTAAACTATGTATATATATATATATATATATATATATATATATATATATATATATATATATATATATATATATATGTGGGTATATATATGTATATATATATATATGTATATATATATATATATATATGTGGGTATATATATATGTATATATACATATATATATATATATATATATATATATATGTGGGTATATATATATATATATATGTGTGTGTATATATATATATATATATATGTGTATATATGTGTGTGTATATATACATATATATATGTGTGTGTGTGTATATATATACATACATAATTTACTAATCATAATGATAATAATGTGGGCCAGGAATATTCACTATATTTGAATGCAGCTGCTACACCTGTACCAAAATGTCGTAGTATCATTTTGCATGCCTCATTGTGCTAAAAGCCTGTCTCAAAAACACTGTTAGCCTTCCCAAAGTGAAAACTGACCGTTTCATTTTATTAAATTGCTTTGTGTTTTATTTAGAATTTTTGATCTTTGTATGGATTCCCAACAATGACAAATGTCACATAGCAATACAAAGAATACATGCTTAGAACACATACGCGCACACACATATAGGTAGATATAAATGAATCGCTGTTGTCAGAAGAAAACCTCGTAACTTTACAGGAGAAGGAAAAAACATACTTTACTTTTAATGTAAGTCAATGGAACCAGACGTCTTTCCAAGTCATTTTGGGCCGTTTCTTTTGGTCCATTCAACATGAAATTTACACACAATGTAAAGGACAACTATATATATATATATATATATATATATATATATATATATAGAGAGAGAGAGAGAGAGAGAGAGAATGCACGTTGACCAGCCTGCTGAATACTTGAACCTACATCTTGTATTGCTCTCCTTGTATTCTCCACTCTGGTGTTCTGTGATTGGTTCAGCCCCAGAGCAAATGATGGTCGCTCTGAAAGCTGTTTAGCTAAAGAAATTACAGGTGTTATGCTTGTATATCTGGTGTTTTGTGTCTGTGGAAGGGATCAGTTCCTAAAGTTTCTGGTTTTAGCTTTAGCGAAAGCCATTCTCCTGCTTTGGTTGGCAAAGCTAAAAGCGTGTGAGGTAGTTAGAGAGCTATTCTGTAATTCACAGAGATCATGTTCATGTTGAAAGTAATGTGTGGAGAAGAACCTTGCCCTTCATTCTGAAGAGTTGATTTCATTCTGGAGGAGAGAACTAGAGGAGTTCAGGCAGAGGGGGAGGATCCATAGCATAGACTTCATAAATTTGAACTGAAAAGAATAAAAATTTATTTGTTTGATGATTTTTTTTATTATTCTTATTCTTCATTTTAAAATTAATTTACTGACCTACTGCAGTTTATCATCAATAAATCAATGGTTTTTCTCGAGTAAATGTTCTGTAATCATTTTTGATCATTTTTGTGTCCGTTTTCTATTTTTTTTTTCTTATTTTTAAATTTAACTAGTTTAAGAGTCTTCAGCCTTAAAGGAACAACATAGCAGTCGCCACCTTGTCATGATAAATTGTCCATCTCTGTGTCTCTCTGTCTGTCTCTCTCTTCCGGACTCAGGGGGGGATAAAGAGGGGGCTATAGTGGGCAGAGTAATAAAGCGCTGCTGGCTTTGGCTCTGTGTGTATCACAGGGTGAGCTGTGTGCTGCGGGTGAAGACACTTATATTGACGACTGAGCAGAAAGAGGGGAGCTGTGTGAGTGGGGGGGTGGCATGGTGAGAGTTCTGTGTGTGTATGTGTGTGTGTGAGAGAGAGAGAGAGAGAGAGAGAGGTGGGGGGGGTGTGTTTGGTCAGAGTATTAGTGCTTTGTTTGACCAGCACAGACTAATAATAGGCAGTCTGAGAGACAGGCCAGTGTTCTCACAAGGTCACAACTGGGACTGAATCCCAATGGCCCTCAGAGCACCGCGGCCAGGACCCCTCCCAGCAGGCCGCAATACACACCCCTGTTTCTGCCCCTCTCTTATTAACACACTCACTAATGGGTTCTTCCCGGGGTGTAAAAACTCTTGGGTGCGTTGTGAAGGTGGAGGTTTTGGAGTTCTAATAATTAGGGATGTGCGATGGGAACGGGCAGATTTTTGCTCCAGCATTCTGCCAATTCTGCTGTAATGAAATCAGAATCAACCTTAAAAATTCATGATCAGTGCCTCCTCTGTAGTAATTATTATTATTAGAATTTATTACAGTGGATTTTTGACTACTTCTACTTTGACCAAATGTGACCACTCATTGAATATACATAATAAATAATGTTTAGTAAAGTATGAATGAATTTTTTAGCCTTCAAATCAAATTCAAACACAAGTCAAAAGATAAAATATGCTGTATTTTTTTATTGTCTGTAATTCACTGCTGTATAAATAGTTCCTCTAAATTTGTCTATTTAGTACATTGAA